ATCCAAACATCTATCACTTTCTACAACTGCCTGAAAGGAGGTTGTAGCCAGGTGGTTGTCGGTCTCTTCTCCCAAGTAACAAGCAACAGGACAAGAGGAAATGGCCTCAAGTTGTACCAGGGGAGGTTTATATTGGATATCAGGAAAAATTTCTTCACTGAAAGGGTTGTCAAGCATTGGAACAGGCTGCCCAGAGAAGTGGTTGAGTCCCCATCCCTGGAGGGATTTAAAAGACGTGTAGACCTGGCACTTAAGGGACATGGTTTAGTGGTGGACTTGGCACTGTTAGGTTAAGGGTTGGACTCGATGATCTTAAGGGTCTTTTCCAACCTAAATGATTCTAAATGACGCTTTACATTAAATGCTATTGCAAAATTATAATCGTGTTAATTACAGCCAACACATGTCCAAAGCTACTGTTTATGAATTCAGACATTACTCTCTTGATTTGTTCAGTCTTAATAAATACTACTAATGCAATAAATAGCATAGTAAATAAAACAAGTATTTAATCTTTGGTTTTACTGGTGACAAAAAAAAGTTTCTCAGATTTCAAGATAATTAAAGAGATTTTTGCAACTGAACACTGAAAAAATTTCTCTCTTAACATGAGATTTAAAAGAACCTCACCAAAAAAGACACAAGGGGTCAGATTAACCTAAACAAGCATAAAAATAAATTTAGTAAACAAAAATGGAAGTCTCTATCACTAATAGCAGATTTGTTACATAACAAAAAGCAAATTAAGTACAGGCTCAGATGAATGCAATTCTAGTGAAGTCCAAGAGATATATGCCAGTGAAAAATTTAATTTTCCTTAATCTTCTCACGTGGTATGATTAATCACCCATGGACTGGTGGACTGTGGACTCTGGAAGATGGCTGTTACAAAGATAACAACAGAAACAATATAAAATTACCAGGGTTATGCCACTATACAGTTATGCTCCTAAACAAAATACTGCATTCCCTTACTCCCTCTTGCAAATGTGATCCAGTAGCTTGTGATTTGTGACACAGAAGAGTAATATTCTTTGTTGCGACTGGTTCCTATTAGCAATGCTCTCCGTATAGCTACCAGAAAGGCTAACAGTCAGTAATCAACTAAGCATGGATGAAAATATAAGGCCATATTAGGGCTGTGTAACTTCTACTAAAGAAGTTAAGCCATACCCATTTGGTAAACGGGGAGCTGGCATCGCCGGAGATCAACGAGCAGGGCCTGGGAAGGTGCTGAGGGGTGAGCTGCCGGGCTCAGGCAATGGGGAGAGGCAGCGGGAGGAGCGCCGGGCAACGGAGGCTGTCTTGGTGCGGTCCCAGCACCTGTAACATCTTGTTGAGACTTGACCTCCCCCCCCAAATCAACAAATAAACCCAGTGTCTCCTTGCCATGTAAAGAGATTGCCATTCTCAAGAGCTGTGTGCAGGATGCAGTTTCAATGTACTCTCACTGTATGTTACTATTCATGGGTCTTAAAACCTGGGGTTTTTTAATCTTAAAAAAAGAAGAAACTACCTGCCTGTATATGTGAATCTCCTACCTGACAAATGGGATTACCTTGCTTAAAATACACCTACACTCCTTGTGGCTGGGGTGAGTGCCTTTAAAATCTTCTGATGAATTTCATGTGAGGTAGAATACAGCTTTGCTAGGGGCTGCAGAAAGGAGAGTTAAACATCAAGATTTTTCTGAAACCATTCTTTTATTTTTAGGCTATTACCACCAGTATCCCTGTACTTTACATCGTATTTCGAGTTTGGACCCGAGTCCACACAAATGCCCACGTGCACGTGACTTTCACGTTGTGTGGAGGCCAATCCATATTTAGAAATATAGAAGTAATAGAATAATAGCACAAAATAGAAATAATCTCTGGGAAACAGCGCAAGAAGAAAAACCCATAGGCTTTTACAACCTTAGTGCGTGCCCGTACATACCTCTCCCTGTGGTTTTGACCAAGTAAGCATATTCTTCCAAGCTGCCCCAGGTAACCCCTTTGTCCCTGCCACTATGCCAAGATATCACTCTTAGAATCGTCCCCACGTCACCTGTCAAAGGGCAAGGAACGTTTATACATAGCTTTAAAATTCGGGATAGCTGCACGATGTCATGAAGAACTGCATACCTAAGGCTTAGGTACCAACGAGCAGTGATGGCCCGGGTAGGGTGACTTGGTAACCACAGCCTCTGCAATCGGGGGGCAGCTGCTGAAGGTCAAAAATGTCAGCAGAGGAGAAACGGCACCGACAGCCCCCGAGCCACAGCCCAGAGCGCAGACCGCCGCCGCTCCGCAGGGCTCCAAACAGCCTGTCGCTTAAAGAGTAGGTGGGACAGCAGTGATCCCAAAACATTTTCTAAGATGAGGTCATGATTACACTTCCAGGCTAATTACTGAAGAAGACTCCTAAAGATAAGAAAGAGCTGAATCCAGCAGTAAATCTGCTTTTCTCCCCAAAGACAAACTTAGTGCCTTTTTTTTCCTTGAGCCAGCACACATCTCGTAATGCGCTTAGAGTCCACGACTGGAAACCAAACAGCCGTGTCCTGAACAAGCATCCACCCCAGCAGCCCAGGACAAAGAAGGGACATTCCTCTCCACGGGAAAGGCATGCCACGTTCTCAGTTCTCCACATAAAACAGGGAATCAGTAGTTTAAAAGGGAAAACTGATCATTCACAAAATAGGACAGAGAAGTCAATGAAATATAGCCCCTGACTCAATGAGCCTTCAGACTCGAGAGGTTTCACCAGAAACAGGTCAGAAAAAGAAGTTTTATGTAATTGCATTTTAGAATTCTCCCTTGTGTCTCTGGCACACAAAAATAAGAGTTTTGTATATCATAAAATTTTTGGACTTTCTTCTTCTAAATTATAAGAATGACACAATTTAAATCGAACAGCCAGAAGACTATTCACATTAAAATATTTTCGTTTTAACCTGTTTCAAGGAACTGCAGTAAATCTGAAAACGTGCAGATGCACGAATGGTATAAAATACCATGAAATGATACAGTATTCTCTTTATTTTACCTCTATTTAGAGGATACCTAGCTTCAGAATACAAAAGCCCCTTCTGCAGACAACCCCCACTGCTGCCAGGCTTTGCGCGCTCTGTGCCGCAGTTTTTAGACTACCACGAGGCAAATCATTAATCTCTGGCCAGCAAGTTGGTCAGCAGTTTGAACAGAGTACGCAGAAACTTGTGCAAGAGCAAAACTGTCTTGGCAGCTCATTACAAAGTTAAAATATAGAACCCAGGTGCCTGCTGAAGCGCCAGGGGCTGATAGAAGCTCCCAAGCAGCCCCGAGGCCATCCGGGCAAGCAGGGCACGCAGCTCCGAAACACCAGCTCTTCCACAACAGAGATTGCTCTTCGCTCATACTGGACTTGTCGCATTAAGCAGCTACCAAAAGCAAGAATGTGATTTTCTTTCCTCTCCTCCGTGTTTAATTCTCCCCCACCTCTGCACCCACCAAAAATTATTCTAAAAAAAGAAAAAAAAAAATTACTGTCCCTAGTCCTTCATTAAATAAATCACTCTAGTTTCACTGTTTTTCATATGCAGATGTCTGTGAGATTGTACTGGTCAGGAAAAAAAAAAATTACAATATTTTATATTACCAAGAATATACATAAACTTTCAACAGGAAGTTGCAGTCAAACAAAGCATTGCTGCCAAAACACCTGAAACAATTTTGTTAGACAGACTCTTCCAAAGACTGAAAAAGGGAAAGCAACAGCATAAATTAATGAGGGGGGAAAAAAAGAAAAAAAAAAATCTGATTTCCAGTTTTAATCATCTCAGGTATAGCAGATAAGTATGATTTGTGCTTATGATTTTAAATATCCTCACTAAGTTTCATTTCATAGCAGATTAAAAAAAAATCCAGTTATTCTAAGTATTATGCAATACTGGCAATGGCACATAGAGAACCAATGCGATATGGTTATCAGCTGCAGCTGTTCAGTTACTCAAAACCTCCCACACCAAACCAGAATTTTTTAAGACACAACAGAAAAGGAGCTATATTGACATCCAGGTGATACTGAGCTTAAAGCAAATTGTATTAGGGTGAAAATCCTATGTGGGGAAAAAAAAAAAACCCAAATAAAAAACCTCCCAGAATAAAATCCCAAATGATCGAAGTCTGAGCGGAAACATTCTCAGGTTTTTCACACAAAACTGCATGTGTAAACTTTTCCCATGATTACACAGCCTTTTATAGTGGTACCACAACTCAATCCAAGACAGTTAAAATTAATAGTTGTACTCAGTAGTGTCACATAGATTAATTTGCCAGAGCACGTGCTAGCCAGTCACAATATGAAATTATTCTTAATTCTACTTGTTTGACTGAAGTGAATTCAATGGAAGATAAAAATGCTGCATCGCCTACCTGGCGAGAAAATTCTTCGTTGGGATACACTGCAGGGGCCTACCCCTGCCTGCCCCAGCACTGAACAGACTAACAGTTGTGTTTTTCCCCATTATATTAAAAACCACAACATACACAAAAACATTTTTATTTAAAATAACATTCAATCCAGCCTATTATGAAGGCTAAAAAAACCCTCTTGCTTTTAATTTGCAAGTTCAGTGGCTCATGTCACACTGACAACTGTTAACATGCCAGGAAAACTAATCACATCTAACTTGCATAAATACGCAAACCTCCAGAAGAGGCCAAGTTCACCCTTGGCTAGAACGTACACAGGTTCCTCCGCCTGGGGATGGAAAAGGCACCGCAGATATTCTGCAGTGGAAATCAGCGACACTTTCTCATGTTTGAAACTTCAAGTTTGTGCTGTTCACAAGCCAGTTTTCCACAAATCTCAGCTGGTCAGCCTTTTTCTTCTTTTTCTTCTAAGAGGAAAGAAGCACGTTAGGTCTCTGGCCCTACAAAGATATCTTGTAGTCTCTAACACTGAATTTTGAGACACATCCATTTGACAAGAAGACACGGGAAAACATGTAATCAAAACATTCTTTATTAATGATTTCAGAAGTCATCTTCTGAGTCATTATCCTCAATTTTTTTCAGTGGCCGCTTAACACCAATTATTAAATCTATGGAGAGAAGCTCCGTAACACAGTGAAGAACTGAAATGACCAACTGGTATTTGCAATACACTGATTCTAAGCCTTTTTCATTCACAGGCAGTGGCTGATTTTTTCTGAGTGCGTTTACAGTTTTGAGATAGAATTTGGCGAAGCTGTTTCGTTCTGTTGTCCCGTGTAAGGACCTGGGAATACTTAGCAACGCATCAGCAACTACATTAGATACGACAGTTACCTCTGAGTGCTGAAACTGTTTTGCATAGTACTGAATGTAATAATGTAACAGGATTTCAAAGTAACCTCCTACTGGCAAAACTGATCCTGCTTCTATGAGGGTGTTGGAATAATTCTGTGCAATACTTTCACAACTCTTTTCACGTTTAAATGGCACTATATTGCAACTTGTTTTCTCTAGATCTTTGCCAACACCTAGGCGTTCACATGCAGCGACTATATTAGCATTATGTGCTGCTGATACAGCAGTGCTGTAATTCTTTTGATTGTCCACAAGTAAATCGCTTTCATAGTTCTCGTGCACGTCACCCTGACGCCCGCATTTTGCATGCGGCTTCTGCGCGTCTCGTGCAGAGCCATCTCCTTCAGTGGCAAGACTGAATTCTTTGATGTGCGAGATGGGATTTGAGGGTATTTGCAAGTTTGTTTGCCCACATGCTGGATTTTCACTTCCCTGCAAGTCAGGGTCTACAGTGTGTGTCTCTGTTTCATCCCCCTGCGTTTCCAGTTGTTGTTCAGAAACCTGATTAGTGTTACAAGCAATATTTTCTATTATGAGTTGCTTCTGAGCAGCCGGAGAACGCCAGCTGCAAGCATCTACAGCTTCATTCTGGCTTTCACCTTCTGCTTTGCATTCCTCCCTCCGATCAACTCTTTTAAACAGCTGCTGCAACATGGTAAATGCCCCTTGTAAGGCAGCAGCATGTTGCTCATTAACACCAGCGACCGGCCCACAAAGAATTAGGCAATGGGGCTGAAAGGCACACACGCTGGTGAGGCCAATGTGAACGCATCTCTTTGAGCCGAGCAGCAAGGGCTGGCAAAACGTTGCCACTGCGGTTTCAGTGATTTCTCTGTGTAGGTTATCACCAAAAGGCGAGTAAGGCGAGACTCCTGTGATTTCACAGATAAGGGCCACTTCTTCCGAGGATAAGCACTCTACCACAGACACACCGTGTGATTTCGCATAGTAGATAACGACGTCGTCTTGCTTCACGCTGGACAGCAACAGTCTAACGCCGTTGCTCCGCAAGTGTTTCATTAAGGCTTCCGTCCTCGTCGAGACCCAGCGCAGGCAGGCCTCATACCGACCCTCGGAGTCGACGACGAACTCGACGCCGGGGCCCGAGAGGGCGGGCCGGAGGGGCTGGGTGACCAGCAGGGCCCGCAGCTCCCCGCTCGCCGGGCAGTAGGCCGCGAAGTCCCTGCGGAGGATGAGCC